TTCCCCCCTCCTTTGTCCTCCTGTTTCCCCTCCCTCTCCCCTCCAGAGAGGAGTTAAACAGTTTGATGGCGTGTGGGACAAAGGAGAAAAGAAGAAGAACAGTAATGAAGCTATCACATAAACAGGACTAGATTTATGCATACTGGTTTCTTCAGACTCCTCTCTGTTACTGAAAGTACAACATACATTATGCAGATTTTGTTAATGATTGGGAGGTCTTATACAGTTAGTCATGGGGAGTAACTTTAGTAGAGGTCATGAGATGCTAAGTTGAGTATTTAAGTGTTAACTGTTTGATTACTCTCTCTGAAATAAAGTTTTAGGCTTTAGGACCTGGGAGGGTGAGGATTCTTCACCCACTCATCCACATGGGCGGGACTGGCCTGGAAATCTGATTCCAGGGCAGAGATTTTCCTGCTCTGGGGCCTGGGAAATCGTCTCATACACTTCTGTCTTTGCCATCAGATACTTTCACTTAATACCGGTCAGGTCAGTGCTGGGGGGATCTTTTTGTAAGCAGCTTGACGATAAACCTGCCGAGTTATTCAAAGGACCCAATAAGGTAAGATGAATGTGCTCGGAGCACGGGAAGCATAGAGAGGGAGGGAGAGAGTAGAGGGCGTCCATCAACTGGTGGGAAATGTCCAGGCATGTGAAAAGAGGCCAAAAAGTCTGTCTATCTTTAACATGGTTAAAGATTCCTTTACAGCCATGTAGTTCCTCCAAGTAGTGCGAAAGCAAAGCAACTGTTTGCTGCACATAACTAGAACTGCATGACAGTCCAGACTTCCAGGGAGTTGGCTACACCTTTTGAACTGATTTAATCTGTAACAAGGGACGCCTCTCCTTCTTTTATCTACATATTTTAAATGCCAGTGTCATTCATACTAAGTCACATGTCCAGAAAAATGAACTGCTTGTGACCTGCTCAATTAGACTGATCTAAACATCTCTGAACTACATCTCTAAGTGGTGATATGCATAAAGCCTGCCCCCCCTAAAGTACAAGTTCGCTCTATGCACATGAACTGCTCTAAAAAACGCGTCTTTAGCTGTAGGGGTGTGTCATGCGTCAGTGAGTGGCCACTTTTCCCTCACCACAAGTAACCAATGAGCATCAACCAGACTTAGTCCTCCATTAGAGAATGTTATGTATGTTTTTTCCCACTCCCAAGTCATGAACAACTCAAATCTTGCTGGCCAATGTTTTGGCTTAGACACAGTACACCCTGAAGCTGCCTACGTGGCTGTTATACAAGTCATTGCTTGAGGTTTGCACAGAGAGAGCTGCTTTAAATGGCATGGGCTAAACCACACTTACTAGCCTACCACAGCTTGCATCTTCTAAATCTCAAGAGTAAACCCTAAGTATGTACTGTTTGTCTTCATGTCTTCTCTTAGGTTTTGTCTGTTAGTAACATTACACCATGTGGGCAACAAACCTCGTATCTCTCGTCCTTCTGACAACTGCAGCCTCGGCAGCAACCTCCACATCAAAAGACAAAGTGTTGAGTAACCATGCCACCATCCTGGCTGACAGCACTGCCAATTTGGCTTTCAGTGTCTACCAGAGCATGGTAAAAGACAAAAATGTAGAGAACATTATCATTTCCCCTGTCGTCGTGGCCTCCTCTCTGGGTCTCGTGGCTCTTGGGGGAAAGGCCTCCACTGCCTCTCAGGTAAAAACCATCCTGAATGTAGCTAAAGTTAAAGATGAGCATCTCCACCCCAGTTTGGCTGAGCTGCTCATAGAGTTGAGCGACCCGAAGACTCGCAACATCACCTGGAAGATTAGCAACCGCCTGTATGGACCCAGCTCTGTCACTTTTGTGGAAGACTTTGTCAAAAGCAGCAAAAAGCACTATAATTGTGAGCACTCAAAGATCAATTTCCGAGACAAGAAGAGTGCTGTGAACTCCATCAACGAATGGGCAGCCAAGTCTACTGATGGCAAACTGCCTGAGGTGACCAAGAATGTAGAAAAGACTGATGGGGCGATGATCATCAGTGCCATGTTTTTCAAATGTGAGTGGATA